TCAGCGAAGCCCAGGATGCGCTACTCAAAACGGGAAACACCACTCCTGGAATGGACGGTATTACAACAAAAATGCTCCAAGCAATCTGGCCGAGCATCTCACAGGTTACCACACTCCTTTACAACGCATGTGTCGCCCTGGGATACCACCCAAGCCCCTTCAAAACAGCAGAGGTAGCGATGATCCCGAAACTCAATAAGAGAGATCTCAGCGATATCTCTGCGTGGCGCCCCATCTCCCTCCTCTCCTGCCTATCCAAAGGGCTGGAACGAGTAATTGGCCGCCGTCTCGCATATTTGGCTATCAAGCACAAGGTCCTCCATCCTGATCAGGCCGGAGCACTCCCCAAAAGAAGCGCCACAGACATTGTCACCGCTCTTGTCTATGATGTCGAACGTGCCCTAGGTAATGGCAAGGTTGCTACTCTCGTCACCATGGATGTCAAAGGAGCTTTTGATGCCATTCTACCCAACAGACTAGTTCTACGCCTCCGACAATAAGGGTGGCCGGATTTCCTGGTTTGGTGGATCTACCACTTCGTTTCCCATCGCAAAGCGCTTGTCAGATTCCAAGATGCTAAAACAGAACCCGCAGAATTACCCTGCGGCCTCCCCCAAGGCTCGCCCATATCACCGATACTCTATCTTCTGGCCACAACGCCTATCTACTCTCTACCAGGAGCAACGGAGAGGTACGGCTATGCAGACGACACAGCGATGCTCTTTATAGGAGACACTCTGGACGAGACTACAGCGAAAGCAAACGCTGCGATCGCGGAAATGGAAACATGGGGACAACAGGAGGCTTTTTCCTTTGATCCAGATAAGACAGAAGTCATGCACTTCTCCAGGAAAAAGAACAGAAGCTCCCCGCCAGTCTCCCACCAAGGCCGGGAAGTTAACGCCCAGAAGGCAATGCGCTGGCTGGGAGTCTGGCTCGACCGCAAGCTTACTTTCAACACGCACATCGAGAAATGGTCACTCAAGGCAAACAAGGTTATTTCACAGCTACTGTTCGTTAACAATACGGTACGTGGAACGTCAGCAATAGCAGCTAGGAGAGCAGTCTACGCAGTAGCCCTACCCACACTCCTCTACGGGCTAGATACATGGTTCCCTGGTTTCATTTCCGAGACAACGCACAAGAGAGCGAGGACGATTACAAGAACCCAACTCTCAAAACTCCAAGTAATCCTAAACAAGGCCTGCCAGGCAGTACTGCCTGTTTGGAAGACCACACCACGAGTCATCCTCTGGAAGGAGGCAGGAATCCCGCCTGCAGATATCATCCTCAAGCAAATGCAAGCGCGCACCGCGCTTCGCTACGCCATGCTAGATGCAGCCCACCCGATTGCTAGAAGGCTAAGACAAGCGCAACATGAAGTTGACCAGAGCAACTTCCCGACAGCACACAACCGAACCTTGCGGAGGCAAAGTCGACTCCTCCGAACAGCGGCATTTCAGCGATGGCTCCAAGACAGAAATGGATACTGCAGGGTATGGATTTGCAGTATTCCACATTGGACGCCTTGGGGTTGTGGCCAACTTGGCTGCAGAGAAGTCTTTGACGCAGAGATCCACGGCGCCGTAGAAGGCCTTCGACGCGCTGTACTCGCCAATTTCGCCAACGAACCAATTACAGTCTGTATGGACAACACCTCTGCCATCGACTGCATAGGAGCAACAGCACCAAACTCCTCACAGGCCTGTTTCAGAGCCTTTCAGAAGATAGGAGACAAATATCCATACCAGGTATCTGTTAAATGGTGCCCAGGACATAGCAACATCTTCGGAAACGAGCTGGCAGACCTTCTCGCCAAGCAAGGAGCCAATCTCCCAGTCCTAGAGCACCTCCCTTCAGTCTCCTACCGCAGGAGACAGGTCAAGGGTCAGATAGCCGTAGACTACCAGCAATGGTGGCAAGGAGTAGAGAGAGCAGGTTATTCGTCGCTCGGCCTAGCCGCCGAGCTACGGAAGCTCCCGGAACTCGCTCTCCCACGCCGTCTTTTGGGATATCTACTCGCTGCCCGATCACACCACGGTGACTTTGCTGACTACCACGAAAGATTTCACCCAGGCCAGGCGACCCTGGAGTGCCCCTGCGGGCGCCGAAAGTCGCCTATCCATCTCTTCTACTGTAGGAAAGTCCCTCACCATCTCCGGGTTCGGCTCGCACCCGACCCTGAAGCGGCGATAGGACGGTTCCTC